AGCCGTCTCTGGTGGCACGCGAGCCATTGCTGGGCCGAGCTGTTCCCTCCTCTCCACACATGCGCAGCTCTCCACACATGCGCAGTCTGGGAATAGGCGACAGGCTATAAAAGGAGCAACTTTTGGCGGAAGCAGCATTTGCTGCAGACAGCGAGAGAGCGAGCACAAGTCGGAGCGGACAGCGAGCGAGCGAGCGAGTGAGCACGAGTCAACAGCTCGGTGGCCACGCCCACTCAGTGGCCACGCCCACCCGGCAATGCATAAGTGGGTTTTGGGTTGCAGTTTGGGCACTCGGTCTCTAAAAGGTTCGCCACCACTGCCTTAGGGCTTCCCTTAGCCTCTTCAAGGACAAATAATTTTCTATCCCACACCCCCTACAGAGTCTATGCACTCGAAAACATGTATTTGTGTTGCTTTGTAACTTTGAAGGACAACTTTTATGCCAGGTGATTAAAGAGAAGATAGTTTATTTAAGTATTAGCAAATACAAAGACAAGTCTAGGGAACCTTATATTTAAAAAAAAATACATTTGTGAAAAGTTCTGAAATTAATCCAAAGAACGTCTGTCACATAATCTATGAGCGACATAACTAAAGAATGATATTAGGGTTGAAGCCAAATTGTTATCATTCTCATTTTTGCCAGCCTCAAAACACTATTGTGAAGGTTTGTGGCTAAGCTGCCAAAGTCACCATTCCTTCGTTATTAAGGAAGTTATCTTTCCATTTTCAAACATAGTTTCTTTACTAAAGGCAATAGCACTATCAAAATATGCTAGACAAATTTTTAAAAGAGAACTGATTGCAACTCAATTCCAGCCTCATTCAATTTTTGCATTCACACATGAGGCTAAATCTAGTTGTCCTTTTTTTTTAATGATCCGTTGAAGAAGCCATAGTGTCTAGTTTGCATATAGCAATCATAATGACTAGAATTATACATTATGCTAAGCCAAGTGGAAACAAACTATACAATGGTTTGTGAAAATGGAAACCATAATAATGAAGAAATGGTGACTTTGGCAGCTTAGCCACAATCCTTCACAATAGCGTTTTGAGGCTGGCAGAAACAAGAATGATAACAATTTGGCTTCAACCCTAATATCATTCTTTAGTGATGGAGGAGGAGGAGGAGGAGGAGGAGGAGGAGAAGAAGAAAAAATCCTATAAATCTGCAACCACCAGATCTGTAAGATGTGGAGTAGAATCTCACTTTCAGATGTAAGAAGATTGGAATTACAAGTAAGAAGAGTTAGGGATGGTCTCTAAAGCAATCTTTTCTCAGGTGGCCTCCTCCAGATATGCTGAGTCTGCGGTTCCCCAAATGTCTGACAGAATAGAATAGAATAGAATAGAATAGAATAGAATAGAATAGAATAGAATAGAATAGAATAGAATAGAGCTGGAAGGGACCTTGGAGGTCTTCTAGTCCAGCCTCCTGCTCAAGCAGGAGAATCTATACCAGTGGTTCTCAACCTGTGGGTCGGGACCCTATTTGGGGTCGATCGACCATTTCACGGGGGTCGCCAAGCAAGGCTGTCCGCCATTTTTTTTGTCTGCCATTTTTTTGTCCGCCATTTTTTTTCCCTTTTCCGGCGGGTGCCTTACCTCCCTTGGGCTGGGCCAGCTGGTGGTCGGCCTGCTCCGTCTCTGCCGCTTGCCAGCTACGCCTCAGCTGGCGCAGGGGGCGGAACAACGCATGTGCGGCGCTCCCGGGCAGGGAAAGTCCTCGACTTACGACCGGTTGGGTAGTCCTCGACTTACGACCAGTTTAGTCCTCGACTTACGACTGGTTTAGTCCTCGACTTACGACCGGTTTAGTCCTCGACTTACGACCGGTTGGGGTCGCGGCATTAAAAAGGTTGAGAACCACTGATCTATACTATCTCAGATAAGTGACTGTCTAGCCTCTTTTTAAAAATCTCCAGATGGAGCGCCCATGATTTCTGGGACAAGCTATTCCACTAGTTAATTGTCCTCACTGTCAGAAAGTTTCTCCTTAGTTCCAGGTTACTTCTCTCTTTGGTCAGTTTCCAACCATTGTTTCTTGTCCTGCCCTCTGGTGCTTTGGAGAATAGTTTGATGCCCTCTTCTTTGTGGCAGCCCCTCAAATACTGGAATACTGCTATCATGTCACCCCTAGTTCTTCTTTTCTTTAGACTCTAGCCAAACCCAAGTCCTGCAGCCGTTCTTCGTATGTTTTAGTATCCAGGCCTAGGACGGAACCTTGTGGTACCCCACTACTTACTTCTCTCTAAATGGCTAATATTAATAAGATAAGAGCTGAGAAAGGTGCATCCATCCAGAGTATAAAGTTCCTTTGAAGCAAGCTCAGCTACTCATGTCTTCATCACCTCTTCCGTGTAGTTTCGTTGGAATAATACTGTACAGTGATGCCTTTTTTTTAGGATGCTTTTTCAACTTTCCAGGCTAGTCTAGAGAGTTGATTAGTAGCACTCAGGCATTATCTGGCTTCAGTTCTGCGTAGCTATCTAAGTTAAGCTGCTTAACTACAATTCCTAGTAGTTCCAATCATTATAACCAATGGTTAGGAACTCTTGGAATTGTAGTCTGGCTACATCTAGAAATCTCTAACCTCTTTATCCTTGCTGTCAGTCTCTCTAGGTCTTTGGTTGTTTAACCTGTTGGAACAGTTGGATTTTGGACTACATATTGCAAATTGCAGAGAACTTGGAAATCTCTACTGCAGCTGGACACATCTTCTCCAGTATGGTGGAAACTGGGCATCCATTATAATAAAGCATGATGTCAGTGCTGGCTGCCAGAAGGAGAGAGTCCACTTCAGGGCAAGGCAGCACAAAGAACCTACTCTCCTCTTGGCCATCCCATCCTCCTTCTCCTCCTCCTCAGCTAAATAAACTGGTGAAAAAAGACACCAAGGCCTCTTGTTGTGAGATGGCAAGGCTCAAAAATGCACAGGTGCTAATCATGATTGTATTGGCCATTGTTGTCAGGGTGATACTGACTGGGTCTTCCATACTGATCAGAAGAAAATACATTACATGAGAATTGCTCCAGACCAACATAAACCTAACAGCCCAGTAGTAGGGGGAGGAGGACACATAGGGACAATCATCTTCAGAATTCTGTATTAACAAAACTCAGTTGACCTCTTTGGTTTCCTGAAAAATGACAACCCCTCTGAATTTGATAGCTGCTTCCAATTTGGCAATTGTGTGAACCAGCCAGTCCCAGTACAAGCTTCCCCATCATGGTGATCCTCAACTGTTCTCTCATCCTTGGTCATTTTTCCTTGGTCATTTTACAACCACAACTGAGCTCAACATTTCTGTTGCTAAGTGCGACAATAGGTTTTGCCCCATTTTGCGACCTTTCTTGCCACAGTTGTTAAGTGAATCGCTGCGGTTGTTAAGTTAGTAACCCGGTTGTTAAGTGAATCTGGCTTCCCCATTGACTTTGCTTGTCATATCTATAACCCTGCAGCTGTTATAAATATGAGCCAGTTGCCAAGTGTCTGAATTTTGATCCTGTGGCCATGGGGATGCTGCAACAGTTGTAAGTATGAAAAATGATCATATTTTCAGTGTCGTTGTAACTTCAAACAGTCACTAAATGAATGCTGTGTGGCAGCAGTGGTTAGAATGAAGCACTGCAGGCAAACTCCGCCCGCAGCTTGGCGTTCGATCCTGACCGGCTCAAAGGTTGACTCAGCCTTCCATCCTTCCGAGGTCGGTAAAATGAGGACCCACATTATTGGGGGCAACATGCTGACTCTGTAAACCGCTTAGAGAGGGCTGTAAAGCACTATGGAGCGGTATATAAGTGCTGTTGCTATTGGGGCAGCATAGTTTATACTGGCATCTTTTTCACTGAGTCGAGGACTGGAGATAAGAATTGGAAGGAAGGCCCTTTAGTGTGACCATGAACCTCAAATACATCCTCAAGGAACTTTAAATCTGTTAGCTCTGGCACCTAATACTTGGAAGTCAGGTACATTGGTAGCAGCTGGGAACAGAGGCAAGATAGGGATCAGCAACTGGAAAAGGACATTTTATGCCAGCATTACTTTCTTCCAACTCAAGGTTGGATAGTGAGCACCTTAATTTACTAATGTAGAGAAGCCTACCATATCTGCATAAAGTACCTACAGGCAGTTTCCAACTAATGGCCCCAATTGGAGATGGAATGGTCTGTTGCTAACCATGGCAGTTGTTAAGTGGGTTGTGCCTGATTTTATGGCCTTTTAATGGCACAATTGTTAAGTGATCACCCTAATTGTTAAGTGAATCACATAGTCATTAAGCAAATCCAGCTTCCCACCCCCCACCCACCCACCCTGCCCCACTGAGTTTGCTTGCTACTGCTATTGTAAATCAAGGACTATCTGTATTCCAAAAAATTGTCTATTATAAAATGGATGGAGTCTTGCATCAATGCTTAACCAGCTCAGGAAGTAGATGCATTTACACAACATCTTAAGCTCCATTCATGTTAACATTGGTTAGATTTGTTGAGGTTTAGAGTGAGTTAGGCAGATCAGTGCCATTTGGGTAACGTATGATTCAATATATTGTATAGATCAGGGGTCTTCAAACTTGGCCCTTTTATGACTTGTGGACTTCAACTCCCAGAATTCCTCAGGAATGCCTGCCCCAGCCACAAAGTCAGGTACATGTATGATGCTCTGTACCAGGGGTTCTCAAACTTGGCCCTTTTATGACTTGTGGACTTCAACCACCAGAATTCCTCAGCCAGGCACGCTGGCTGAGGAATTCTGGGAGTTGAAGTCCACAAGTCATAAAAGGGCCATGTTTGAAGACCCCCTGGTATAGATATTCAAAACAGGTTAATTTAGCATGTTTGAATGCAGCCTTCAACGAGAGGCTGGCTCTGTGCCATGTTAGAGTGATGATAACTATGATCCTGGGGTCAAGCACAGCTTTGTGGATCTCTCACTTGTTAGGTTAGAGTTTGATTAGCACCTGAGGAAGAGAATTGAGACACGGGGGAAACCTTACCCAAGAGAATTAGAAGGATTCCGCCCAGCTGAGAACGCCGATACTTAGCCACTCCAGGTTCATGGCCCATCCGAATGCAAGGCAAAACAGTCACCAAGAGGAAAACAGCTGGGAGTCCCAAAACTGTGGCAGCAATCATCAGGGCCCGACATGCCTGGACATACCCTGTGGGAAGAAAGACTTCAGAATTTGCAAACCTATAGTGTTCAATCTGCTTTAAATAACAGGGGTGTCCTCGACACTTGAAACTACCAAACAAAGGCCTTTCCCAGAGGGAAAAATCCATTGGCATGACTGAGAATGTCCATCTGCACTTCCTCTCAGCGGGACCTCTAAAGCAGGGGTGGACAACCTTTTTTTCCAGAGAGGAAAGGACAGCCCTTCCCTTCCAAAGGCTGCACAGATGACAACACAACAGAGGAAGCAGAGTCTACAGTTTTGAACTGGTTCGTTGTTGTTCTTGTTGTTTTCCTGTGGTGTTGGCAAACATGCTGGCTTGTTACTTTATATCAAACTTTCCAGAAAGTGACATCAGCTATTTTTATCATTTTCTTCCTAATTGTCAGTTTTAGGATTTTGGGGTGAACTAAAACCCAACAGGAATGCCCGCCCCAGCCACAAAGTCAGGTACACGTACGATGGTCTGCACCAGGGGTCCTCAAACATGGCCACTTTAAGACTTGTGGACTTCAACTCCCAGAATTCCCCAGTCAGCCATGCTGGCTGGGGAATTCTGGGAGTTGAAGTCCACAAGTCTTAAAGTGGCCATGCTTGAGGACCCCTGCTCTGCAGTGAAGCCCCTGTGCATGCCAAGTACCCTCTAAAAGGGAGAGGTGGAAACTTTCTTACTTGGAATAATAGGCTGACAAGCAGACTGAAACCAACCAATCAGCTCAAAATAATAATCTCCAAGGCTAAAAAACTAGCGAAAAGTGAAGGAAGAATGCCTAGGAATTCTCTGAGCTGACAAATTGATTTCTAAATGAAGTATAGGGTGATAATAGGTTTTTGTCTTCTTCCAACCACAGGTTGACTTACAATCACAACTCAGCCCAAAATTTCTGCGGCTAAGCGAGAGAGTTGTTAAGCTGTGCTCCATTTTAATGACCTGCTTTGCCACGGTTGTTAAGCGAATCGTGCGGTTGTTAAGTGAATCTGGCTTCTCCCGTGGACTGTGCTCGGCAGCAGGCAGCTGGGAAGGTTACAAATGAAGATCACATGATCCTGGACCGGCGCAACGGTGACAAATAAAAGCCCGTTGCCAAGCGCCCCAATTTTTATCATGTGACCATGGGGGAGGGGTGCTTCACTGGTCGTAAGTGTGAAAACTGGTCCTAAATCACTTTTTATAATGTTGTAACATCAAACAGCCACTAAATGAACGGTTGTAAATCGAGGACTGCTTGAACCATGTTCCTGTCACTTGCAGAATTACAGTTACAGAAAATAACAGTAAATCATCTTCACTATTAGGAGGCAGTAAGAGAGCTTTATGACTGCAACTTGCTAATGACATCAGATTTAAATAAAACAGGGGGTTGGTGTTTTGGAGCTTGAACTGGGACATCTAGATTTAAATCTGCATTTCCCTATAGAACAATTGGAAGACTTGGGGCTAGTCACAGTCTCTGCCTCTAGCTAATAATAATAATAATAATAATAATAATAATAATAATAATAATAATAATAATAATAATAATAATAATAATAATAATAATAATAATAATAATAATAATAATAATAATAAAATTGGAAGGGACCTTGGAGGTCATCTAGTCCAACCCCCTGCTCAGGCAGGAAACCCTATACCATTTCAGACAAATAGCTGTCCAGTCTCTTCTTAAAAACCACCAGTGTTGGAGCATTCACCGCTTCTGGAGGCAGGTTGTTCCACTGGTTAATTGTTCTAACTGTCAGGAAGTTTCTCCTTAGTTCTAGATTGCTTCTCTCCTTGATTAGTTTCCATCCGTTGCTTCTTGTCCTGCCTTCAGCGCTTTGGAGAATAGCTTGACTCCCTCTCCTTTGTGGCAGCCCCCGAGATCTTGGAACACTGCTATCATGTCCCCCCTCGACCTTCTCTTCATTAAACTAGACATACCCAATTCCAGCAACCGTTCTTTACATGTTTTAGCCTCCAGACCTCTAATCATCTTTGTTGCTCTTCTCTGTACTCTTTCTAGAGCTGACCCCACAAGGTTGATGTAAGAATATGGTCTGGGCCAGGGGTCCCCAACCCCTGATCCATGGACCGGTACTGGGCCGTGGCATGCCAGCAACTGGTCCACACAAACAAGCGAAGCCCCATTTGCAGGATGCAGGCAGCACACAAAATCACACACTCTCTGGTCCATGGAAAAACCTTTCTCCACGGAACTGGTCCCTGGTGCCCAAAAGGTTGGGGATCTCTGGTCTAGGGGAGGAAAATAATTGCATGGACCTCTAGAGGTTTGAAGATAATGAGATTTACAATCATGCACATCAGAATAACTCCAGGTTAGAGAAAACTGATATCAGCAAACTGGAGAATGAGAAGTATGAAACTTAGATTTATTTATTATATGCAAACAGGAGCTGATGTAGAACTGAGCAGTCAGTTAAACACTCTGGGACTATAGAAGGTCTTCCAGAGAGGAATAACCTATAGTTTGAGTTTATGCTGGCTGGTCATGATGTCATGTTGCTAAAAGTGAGCAGAATTCCAGCTTGCAGGTGCTATTTTATTGGGGACTTTAAAATTTTAATCAAAGTATTTGTATTCCGACCTTAAAAACCCATTACTTGAAATCTGCTGCAAAAGATTAGCCGTCAAAAGATTAGCATTTAAAACATCTCAGCCTGGAAATGTATTCACAGGGAAAAAAATTGAATAAAATTTACAGTCCTTCTACACTAATGTTCCCTGGGGTTTTTAGAATTTATGCTATATGGGAATTGGAACTGATTTATTGAAGTTCCTGCAAAGTATGCAGAAAATATGAGTATATATCTCAGCCAGATCTTTTCTAACTATTAGAGTAATGTAATTCCCGAAAGGGACATTTCCCTACTTCAGTTTTCATGTTATGCTTAAATTTGTGGATATTTGCAGACTAATCATGCAGTTAGTTAAACCAATCATGTACATAAGAAAAGCAGAATATAACATCACCTTTTCTGGAACGACTGTCTATTCCTCCATCCTATTTAATAGCTTTTAATTGGAACTTCTGGAAAACCCTCTAGCTTCTATCAATCTTCATCAGCTGATATTCAGATGAATCTTTGAATTAGGAGATTACATAGAAACTGGCCATTAATAAACCTGTCCTCCCTGGAGCCCTCTGACTTGGTGGTCATTTCTATCCAGTGGCAGGGAATTCCATAAGTCCATGAAGCAACATATAAAAGGCTATTTCCAACTTTTACCAATCAAACTGTTGCTCATAAAGTTACAATGAAATAAGACCAATATACCAAACTTTTAAAAATGATATCATACTGGCTGGGCAAGGTCAAGCTCCTAGTTAGAATCTCTCATTAATCAGGAACTCACTAGCCAGCCTCAAGTAATTAGTCAAGGCACTGACCTGCAATTGAGGGATAATAGAGAAAAAATATATTATATATAATATAATAATATATTTTTCTCTATTATCCCTCAACTGCATATGTAGTATAATAATATATAAGAGATATTTAGGAAATAAACTTATAGGTTTGTGACTACATAAAATATTTCATGGTTCTAATTTGTTGCATCTTTTAAGCATTGTTTTATGTCATATCCACACAATGTGATCAATCCTCTCAATTTAATATTTTCAACTTTCTTAAATGTTATATGCAGGGCTTTTTTTGTCATAGAACGCCCAGAACGGAGTTCCAGCACCTTTTTTGGATGGAACCTTGTAGGGTAGGCAAGGCGGGTTGTGTATCATGTGTGAGTTCCGGCACCTTTTTTTTTTTTTTTACAAAAAAAGCACTGGTTATATGTGTATCTCCCTCCCTCTCTCCCTCCCTCTCTCTCTCTCTCTCTCTCTCTCTCTCTGTGTGTGTGTGCTGTGCGCATTATATGTGGATTATAAATATTATTGTCATAATCTTTATATCCTTTATAATGGATGTGTGCAAGCACACAGGATTTTTATACATGCATGCACACATGTATACAAATCCTAAAATCTGGAGAAGAGGAGGAACATCTTAAACATAGCTTTAATACTGAGTGATAATGACTATGAACACTATTTATTAATAATAATGCTAATTATCATGCTAACCCTTTGTTTAGTTCTTTATTATCAGAAAAAACATATCCTTCCTGGAGAAAGTGACTCTTGTAAAGTCATGGTCTAATAGGATAGAGAGCCATAAAAAAAACCCACTTTTTTTTTTGACATGGGGATTCTAAAACATATCCTCCCTGATAGCACAAACTTCCCATGCTGGAATAACAGAATTCAGCTGTTACTGTTTGTATAGCTTTGTATTTTACACCATACAGTGTGGAAAATATTTTTATTGTCTCCATTCCCACACGAAGTCACTGAAGCTAACCCACCAATAAAAAAGAGCTCCGTGATACAGAGCAGATGGTGTATTAGATTTCATTCCAGGCTGGGAAAGACCTGCCTGATACTATAAACAGGATTTACCAGGTAGCCCCTAAGCCCAACCTATTTTAAGACAAATGCCAAAGCGTCTATGAGTCCCATTTTACTGATAGTTAAATAGAGACCCCAAGATGTGGAATATCCAGAATCAAACAAATTTAAGTGGTAATTTCTAGGAATTAGGGCCTGGCTGTGGAGTCAAAGGCTTAAAGGCTTAAAAGATGACCCAATGCCACAGTGTCCGGAAGTTGGGTTGAAAGTAAATTAAAAAAAATTATTACTGTTAGCCTGATTTTTGCCCCTTTTGAATGTTTCCATTTGCCAGAAATTGGGATATTATGATCTGAGCATGTGCATAATAATAACAGAAGACAAAGAATTGGAGAAGATCTGAAAATCAAAACTGAAAAGATTATGGCATACAGCAACTATGATGGTCCCATGGTGGTCACTGGGCACACTGAATACCACACTAAAAAAAAATCTTGGGTGGCACTTAGAAAATCTGTGCATTGATAAATTTTCCATCTCTCAATTGCAAAAGGCCACACTGCTCGTATCCATACATATGAACTAAGGAGAAACTTCCTGACAGTTAGAACAATTAACCCATGGAACAACCTGCCTCCAGAAGCGGTGAATGCTCCAACACTGGAAGTTTTTAAGAAGAGACTGGACAGCCATATGTCCGAAATGGTATAGGGTTTCCTGCCTGAGCAGGGGGTTGGACTAGATGACCTCCAAGGTCCCTTCCAACTTTATTATTATTATTATTATTATTATTATTATTATTATTATTATTATTATTATTATTATTATTATTATTATTATTATTATTATTATTATTATATACTACACTGATACATTATGATGTCCTAGGAGGTTCTTGGGAAAAATTCAGTGCGTAGAATTCCTCAATTGCAGGAATTTGGTACGTCTAATCTAATGAAAAGAAGACATGATAGCAGTCTTCCAATATCTCAGGGGTTGCCACAAAGAAGGGGGGGGTGTCAAGCTATTCTCCAAAGGACCTGAAGGCAGAACAAGAAGCAATGGATGGAAACTAATCAAGGAGAGAAGCAACCTAGAACTAAGGAGAAATTTTTGGACAGTTAGAACAATTGATCAGTGAAACAACTTGCCTCCAGAAGTTGTGAATGCTCCAACACTGGAAGTTTTTAAGAAGAGATTGGACAGCCATTTGTCTGAAATGGTACACGGTCTTCTGCTTGACCAGGGGGTTGAACTAGAAGACCTCCAAGGTCTCTTCCAACTCTATTTCACTGGTGTCCTCACTTCATAAATTCCTTCACAAATTTATCTCTCTCTCTCTGTTTATTCAAATACAATTTCAAATGCACCCTTTCTATAAAAGATTAACCCTCAATTTGTTGCTGTTGTGATTGAGATTCTAAACAAACATAACTAGATTTCCCCACATATTACTTCTTTGTCTGTTCTAATTCTTTATCATTTTCCATGTTGAAACATAGCCTGTAAAATCTTTGGAACGTTGTTTGAAACTTTTCCAGCAATTCTACCAAACATTCCCAAATTCCCCTAAGAAGTCCTATCTAAAAATATAATAAGCCAGCACCGAAGCTGTGGGGTTTAGTTTGAGCTGGGAGTCCTTGGCAGTTGCTGGATAATCCATACCTGGTAATATGAGGATATCCACCAGTGGCTTGCAGTGATACAGCCCTGTTGCCATGACGCAGTCGGCCCACAGTCCCTTGGACCCCAGCTCGTCCATCTTCCGGCAAGTGGTGATGGTGTATCCACAAGTCACAACCCAGTCATTTGTGGAAGTGGCCACAATCAAGCCAATCCAGCCAACAAAGCTAGCCACAAACCCAGTAAGATGTAAACAAGTGGCAACCATTCTTCTCCTAAGGCTGGCTGAACACTGAAAAACTGGTAAGCAACAAGGCGAGGGTCTGACTGCCAGTGGTCAGCTAAAGGCACTGAAAGGAGATCAGCTGGGATGGAGATGCTTGGCATCTCTTAGCTCAGCCCCTGGGAGGAGACTGCTCCCACACAGATGGAGGGAGGTGGCTCAAAATGTGCCAAGTTTTGTTCTCCTTTTCCCTTTGTTTAAAACTTCCTGCAATTACGCAGTAGGAAAAGTGAATGCAGAAAGGGAAAGGGGAGTAGAGAGTACACATTTAGGTTGGAGCTTAAACAAGGCCTGATCCTAAATTAGAAAACGCATTGAGAAAAGATTTGAGGAAACATGTATTAGAGAAAGCCATCCTTTTCCAAAGAAGAGGAGCACAAAAGGCCAGCTTATTACTGTGCCCATTCTCTGAAGAGTCTTGTTCTACAACATGCAGGCACACCAGCACACTTTTTGCAGAGAAAACCACTGCAGCAAATAAGTGGGGGTAAATACAGATCCTCAGATTTATATTTGCACCTTTTGGAATAGACGGAGTACAGCAGATGGATTGGTGGGCATTTTCAGTCTCTTTTCTACATTGGGTGAAGTTGGGGATGGTTTAAGGACAAAGTGGATGCTTTTGGCTTAGAACAGGGGTCTTCAAACTTGGCCCTTTTATGACATGTGGACTTCAACTCCCAGAATGCCTGGCTGAGGAATTCTGGAAGTTGAAGTCCACAAGTCATAAAAGGGCCAAGTTTGAAGAGTCCTGGCTTAAAAGAAGCTTCAGGCACCCAGAGTAACTCTGATGGCACTCCATGGTTGGGCTGATTTATCTTCTCTGGAAAGGTTGTGGCCAGTCATGTGCCTTAAGCCTCTACACATTGCAAGTATTCTATGACTCACAACCACAATTGAACCCAAAATTTATGTTGCTAAGTGAGAAATTTGCTAAGTGAGTTTTACCCCATTTTACAACTTTTCTTGCCACTTTTGTTAAGGAGTCACTGCAGTTGTTAAATTAGTAACATGGCTGTTAAGTGAATTTGGTTTCCCCGTTGACTTTGCTTGTCAGAAGGTCACAAAAACCGATCACATGACCCCGGAAACACTGCAACCGTCATAGATATGAGCCAGTTGTCCAGCTCCGAATGTAAATCACGTGACCATGGGGGGGATGCTGCAATGGTCATAAATGTGAAAAATGGTCATAACTCACTGTTTTCAGTGCTATTGTAAGTTTGAACAGTCATTCAATGAACTGTTGTAAGTCAAGGATTACCTGCACTTTATTCATTTCTACAACTCCATTCACAGCTAAGATTGCTAATTTTACAGGTGGGATATATTTTAGGGGTGGGAGCAGACTAGGGATGATGTCTTTTAGTAAACTGACTTTATGCAATTGTACTGCAATGATTAATCTCAGGTTTGACAGTCTCAGTAGTTCAATGCTTTTGCAATAATCCTAAAGATTATGGAGGGGGGGGGAAGGAACAGATTTAAGGTCAGTTCATATCCCTGGAATAAACAATTACAAGTGGATTCTATTTTAATATTAAGGAGAGATTTTAATCAAAATCTGAAAGACTTGCTAATATCAAAGGTGAAAAATAAATCTTCAAGCGAGTTTTCAAAGCAAAACCTAATAGAATCCACTTTGCATTCAAGTTAGAATCTTTCCTTTCCCAGAATAAAACGTGCCTATAGCGACCACTGGTGTCATTTTGAGGCATTACACTCCATGTTGCAGAGCAGGTTGCTTGACCTTTTTCTTTGACCTTTTGGCAACTCACAATGGAATACAATTAAACGTGTGAAAGACTGTATTGGGAGAGCACTGTGGGTGCAAGTCATGCATTTGATTGAAGATGGTTCCCTCACATATGCAGGGGATGGACTTAAATTAGCAATATTGAATATCCTTTTGTTAGGAATCCAGAATCAGCAATATTTATGATAGGTGGAGCAGAGGAAACCATCCTACATTTACAGTTTTACTCATCTCATGTACATGTGCTGCAGTCTCCCATTAGAAAATAAAAAGATAACAAAATCTGATCTGTGGAATCAATATTTATATTTTTTTTCCTCTTTGTGACTGTCCTCAACTGTAATTCTTCTGCCTCCTTCAGAGTTTTTAACCTGGGCACTGGAGAAGAGGAGATAGAAAAACAGTCCATATTTCATTGTCTTCCATTTATACATCTTTTACAAACACAGAGAAAGTTTTTTCAATATTTTTCTCCTGCCATATCAAAAAAGAAAACCACATTATGTTACAGCAAGATGAAACAGCTCCATGATCCCTTCATGACAGCTCCGGGATCTCTTTTGATATCTAAGAAACTTGGTTCCAGAATCAAGTTCCTTGTGTGTTTGCAGTACTGAATCCATCCTCCCACAGATTAGAATCTCAGCAAAACTGCATTCTTGCTTTCTGCTCTTTCTATCTTTCTTGGCTTTGGGGAGTTGAAATATTCAAAAATCTCTTTCAAGAGAAAAGGCAAAGTTGCCAAACAGGATAAGCAGAGTAGATACTTCACCCAGTAGAATTGCTTTGCTTATATGAGCAGGAAGAATCATCAGTCAGCACTCATTTGCTTCTCTTAGCCTTATCCAATCTGGGCACACATCCCTGTGTATTTAGCTCCTAGAATTCCCCAACAATATGGCCACTGCTGAAAATTGTGTAAGATGAAGTCCATACATCTTGAATGTACCGAGGTTGATTTATATATACAAAGCTAATCCTCACTTAGCAATCTCAACTGGGACTAGTGACACAGTCACTGAGCAGAGAAATCACATTATTACAAATGGGCTTACAATTTTACTTACTCTGGTTGCTAAGTTAAGTGCCAAGGTTGGTAAGCGAAAAACCACTTGACAAATGATTTACCATTTTACTTCTGCTTCTCATACTTAACAGTATTAATTCTGGCTGTCTCAAGCAGAAATATGTGCCAGTTGTGAACTGCATGAATGACAGTCATGATTGCAATATATATTTTTCAAGACTGTGGAATAATTAAGATTGATATCAATATCATCCTCGGAAGCATCATGAATACACAGAACATAGAAATGTGTTAGTTGCCAATTTGCTTTATTGTGAAGGCAATATAATTAGACCAATATTTAGACTGGTCATTCTGGATATTCATTGCAACAGTGATAAAAGCAAGGACTGGTCTCGGAAAGTTGTTTTTTTTTAGCACTGTCATAACTTTGAATGGTCGCTGTACAAGGCAGTCAGTGAAGACTACCTGCATCTATCTATCTCTGTAAATCAACTCCAGATTGATCACCCCAGTTGTATGCAGAAGCTTTTGATGCATGTTGGTCCAACAGGAGTTGATATAACATAGCCAGGGAAAGCAGATGCTTTTGTTAGATAGTCCTTGAGTTAACAACTGTAATTGATACCCAAAATTGTGATTAAAAATCATGTCAGTCATTAAGGTCATCATGTGATCAACCTGATTTTACATTTTTTTTGGTCACAGTCATTAAGTGAATGTGGCAGTAAAGCAAATGTCATGGTCATTAAGTAAACCCATTGTTTGCTTAATGGAGGTATTTTTTGCCGGGAACTGGACGTACATGCCAGTTTCCAGCAAAAAAACATTGTAAATTGTGGTCACATGTTCTCTGAATGCTACAAAGTGCCATAACTGTGGGCTGGTTGCTAAACACCAAAAATGCGATTACATGACCATGGGAGAGGGGGTCTGAATGTCAGAAACTCAAATCTGGGTCTTAAGTACCTTTTTTTTTTTGGAGTCCGGTATAACTTAGAACGCATTACTGAGCGACCTGTCATTAAGTGAGAGCTACTTTTATCATCAAAGCTTGGTGATAAATGGCAAAACAATCTTTAACTGCTTGGAGCGAGGAGACTGCATAAGTGTCTTCTGTTCAGGGCTATAAGTTTAAATATTCTAAACAATGATGAGGGATGAAGGCATGTTCAGAATTATGGGCTGAATTGTTGACCACATTTCATTTTCCTGGCTTTGCAAACAAAATGATGGGAATCCAGGGGTGATTGGTATAAGAGGCTTTGTTATTATTTCAGATACCTGATTTTTTTTTTTAACAGGGTAAATACAACGGAAAGCAATGCTTTTCAACTTAAGATAGCCATAGAGGTCTGCTGATTTATGCCATTATAAAGACTACAGTGAATGGCACACTGTCAATGTACAAAACTAGCATTGAGAAATAATTGGAACAAACATTCAATTCACAAGGCTATATGTACAAAGAATAGAAAGAGAGGAAGCCTTTGATATTTGAATTGTTTATTTGAATGTGGATCACAAACTATACAAGGTATTTACAATGCATGAAAAATGGAAAACTGCACAAAATACATTTGAGGTATAAGCAAAAAGCACAGTATGTCATATTTTAATAAATAGAATTCAAAATTTGTAAACTAAGTGAACAGCTAAATGCATTTTTTTTACTAAAACTGTACAAAATCTCTCTCTTGTTCTGTCTTATTTTGAATCACATGAGGTAGAGGACAGTTTTGTGTATCAGAAGATGAACTCAAACTGTACATCATTGGCAAAACATGGAAAACTCTTGGTTTGCACCAAACATTTTGTCTTAGACTTGTTTGACCAATCTACTTCTGGTCTTGACTCCTTGTACAACTTCTTACAGTAATTGTTATAAACTCTTCTAAATGTTTTCATTGTGATCCAGAAGGTCAAGTTAGTTCAAGAGTTTTCATGTGACCATTTGAACATGATAGATAGATAGATAGATAGATAGATAGATAGATAGATAGATAGATACTATCTATCTATCTATCTATCTATCTATCTATCTATAAACAACATGCCGTACAACTATATATAGTAGGGAGAAGTTCTGTCCAAGATACATGTCAGAGATCCCACTGAGTATTCAAAATATATATTTTTCAAGACTGTGGAACAATTGAGATCAATAAACATTTTCAAAAGCATCATGAATACAAAGAAAAT